CCCCCCCAATGCAGGTGGATTAGGAATGTAATTTGGAATGACCCGAACCCCATCGTGACCCAGATTAAAAGACCTCCACGAAGCGAACTCTATTGCGGATGGTTTTCCCGCTGCAAGGCGGTCCACCTGTAAGGAGCTTGGGCCCCCTGCCAATGTGCCCAGAGTCTGTCAATTAAGAAGACGCAGGGCAATCTGCGGCTGCTGAAAGACATGCTCTGAACCCTCTCCCGGGACCCAGAGGCGGCCTTTTGTTACTCAGCATGTTTCGCATAGTTTCGGAGGCTCCATCATGAAGCCCTGCATTATGTTTTTCCACGGTCAGGCGAGTATGGAGGAAGCACTGTCGGCTAGAAGGTATAGTAGCCCTTCTCGTCGCAGGTGAGGTGGTCCCGGGACCAGGGCAGGGCACCTCTGCTGAGTGATCCCCATGCACGTGCTGTGGTCCCATTGCCCCTTTTTTTTTCTTTTTTTTTCTCTTACCTCCACCTCCATTTTGGACATTTCTCGACATCTGATTAAAAAGCGACTCGGTGGCCCCCTGCCAATGTGCCCAGAATCTGTCAATTAAGAAGACGCAGGGCAATCTGCGGCTGCTGAAAGACATGCTCTGAACCCTCTCCCGGGGCCCAGAGGCGGCCTTTTGTTCCTCGGCATGTTTCGCATAGTTTCGGAGGCTCGATACGCACGGGCTCCATCCATCATGAAGCCCTGCGTTATTTTTTTCCACGGTCAGGCGAGTATGGAGGAAGCACTGTCGGCTAGAAGGTATAATAGCCCTTCTCGTCGCAGGTGAGGTGGTCCCGGGACCAGGGCAGGGCACCTCTGCTGAGTGATCCCCATGCACGTGCTGTGGTCCCATTGCCCCTTTTTTTTTCTTTTTTTTTCTCTTACCTCCACCTCCATTTTGGACATTTCTCGACATCTGATTAAAAAGCGACTCGGTGGCTGTTTTCCCGGGACCTCCCACCCAGCGGGGAAATGTCAAGCCAAGTCAATTTGGAAATTTGTGGCCAGGGTGGTCCAAAGTCAGCAACTGTTGACTTCTTGATGCGATGACTGTATGTTGTTCTAGAATAGGGAGGGTACCGCAGAGCGCCGTTTGGCCTATTTTACCCCCACGAGACAAGAAAAGTGCCTCCGATTATTTGTGGAAGTTCCCGTGACCGCTTTTCATTGTGGGAAACAAAAAAAAAAAAAAAACGTTGCTCACCAAATTGCACCGGTGGAAACTTGGTGGCGTTTTTTTACGTCCAGCCTGAGTCTCCGCTTCCACTCGACGGCTTTAAGAGCATGCCGAGTGCTCTTGAAAATGAGTTTCTTGCGGCAGCCTCCTCGGATGCGCCACGGGCTCCCCGGCAGGCCGCCGGGGCTTTGTCAAGACGGCGTGCGCCGCTTGAAGCCCACCGACCCCCCTCTCGCCCATTATGCCGTACGCAGTCGGGCAGAAAGTAAAAGAAGCTCTTCTGCAGGCATGAGGCTGGCAGCGGTGGCGTGCAACACACTTGAGTGTTGGAGCTTTGTGAGACCTGGAAACGGAAGGGAGGGCGCCGAGCTTTCGCGAGAGAGCAAAATTTATTTGGGGGATTATAGCCGTGTCCAAATCCGCCACAAGGGATTGAATTTTCCTTCAATTGTGTGTTTAGGAAAGAGCTTGCAGCAGAAGTGACAAATGATATTCAAATTCACTCGAGGAACCCTTTTCAAGCCTGAACTTGTCTGTTTGTTGAGACAATTGCATCCTTTTTGTCTTTTGATTTTTTTTTCCCTCTGCAGCCAAGCGTTTTCAGTGGCCTTGACTAATTCCAACAATGTGTATTGTTGTTGTTATTCTATTTTTTACCATCTTTCTTTGATTTCTGAATCTGCGATGTGACAAAACAAATCTTTTCTGCACGTTTTTCTCAGGCCGGAGCAATGAATTTCAGACTTTGGGTCAAAAGTTGAGGCAGTGAGCTTAACTGTTAAATGTTATTTACTGGCAGTAGCTGTAAGCTCGCTACCCAACAAGCACTCATGTTTGCAGCCTGACTTTTCTGACCTTGTATTTGCCGCTCAAAATGCACATTTGAGTGGCACCCCAATACACTTTTCCCATCTGAAGTGAAACAAAAAGATCAAACTTTCCCGGTTTCCTGGGGTTGACGGTGAATGCTAGCCGCCACCCAGATAAACACCCGTCAACTCGTCTTAAAAGGGAACATTGTCGGAGAGGTTAAAAAAAAAAAATGCCGCCTTTACAATGATGCTAATGGTCTTTTTTTTGAAGTAAATGTTTGAAACAAAGACACAAGCCTTCCCCATGGTATTATGCTGTCTTTATTTATGGGTGCTTAGACAAGCTCCTCTCCCACTCCAAATAACACCAGCGGTGCACTTAAGGGAGCGCGCTTCAACATTTACACAGCGTTGCTGAAATCAGATTATGTATGGGCTCAATTGACTTAATGCATATAAAGAGACTAGATCCTATTAATGAACAAGCAACCCTGAGGCGCCGGCCCGACCCGAGAGCAAGCTAATCTGCCATGCAAATTAAATCCTGCCTCCGCGCGCACGTGCGCGTTTGTGTGTGTGTGTGTGTGTCCCGCCAGTTTAATGCGATCCATTAAGGCGTTTCCGCTTATTTATATATATATATATACTATTCGAAAAGAATCATCTGAAAACCAAACAGAGGGGAGGGGTTTGCGCTCTGATCAATGCGGCCTTGCAAGCGTTTTCTTCCCTTGAAATCTCGCTCCTCGGACAGACGGCGGAGCAGGCGTTCATTGGGGGCAGATTTTCCCAAATGTTTGTGGTTTGTGGTGCAGCCACTCCAGACATCGGCACGCACAAATATTGAAGCCAACTTGCGCATTGCCACCACTTTGGTGATTCAGAATTGGAAATACGACTGGACGTTTATACTTGGCGTAACCACCAGAGAGCTCTCTATGGGGGTGTTGGTGAAAGGTGGCTTCCAAGTTTGGGAGAGACCCCCTGCCCCTTGAAAAAAATCCAGTCATCTATGTATGAGCCAATTTAAAAGTTGGATCCAGATGTAGACGAATTGGCTTCCGTGGTTTTTTTTCTTTTTGTGGGGGGGGGGGAGTGAATGGAGTATTTTGTGTTTATTTGCCACAGGGGCTTCCCTGACAAATATAAATAAATAAAACCTTCCAGGCGCAGGTAGACTTGAGTATGTGCACCTCATTTCAAGCACAATTAACTTGAAATGGAGTGCTGCGGGATCAATAGTCCCCATTTGATCCAGGGAGGGGGTTGTTGGGCTGGATGTCACTCGATGGAAATGGCACACATATGGTCATGCCGCCAGTTGAACAACAACTCTGAGAATTTACTGTGACCGTTTTTTTAAAATGTTTTATTTTGGCGGAGGGCGGCGGGAATAACAAACAG